TTTTACGTTTATTATTTGGGAGGAACATGCATGGAACTTCATAATCTTAAGAAATTGGTTATCCAAGCCTAAAATTGATGAGTGCAAACTTCTAAATTGCTTCAACTTGTGCAGAGATTTATGTCACGCATAATTGCTACTGTTTATTCTATGTTCATTGTGAATGCGCAGTCAAATCACGCATAACCGTGCGCGTTGATTTCGAAGCTGAATGAAGAACCATTCAGCAGACAGGTTGACTCAGACATTGAAGGTTGACTGAACAGTCAACAAATAAAATATGCTCGTTAAAGTTAGTTAATTTTTCTACCCCGACTTTTTCTACAAGATTTTTAAGCAGTTCTTGATATCTATATTTCTCTATATCGAAGTTGACCTGACTTTCAGGAGGTGATTTAATTTGTAGAATAACTTGTTATTATTAATTGCTTCTGCTTTTTTTAGTGTAGTGATCATTTGTTGGTGAGAGTTTAGATTCATGGACCACTGATGTCCCTCTCCAAAATTTACTCCTTTTTAGATGGCCAGTTATATGAGTCATTTGGTTTCTGTATTCCTTCACAGAACTTACAAGTAATCTTAAGGCGATTAAGATCCCCACCGTTTTTTAGATACTATAACACCCCTATACATGTATCGGCACAAGGAGATTATCATTTTACAACTCATGAGAAAGATGAATACAGGCACGAAAGATTGAAGATAGATGGATGATTAAGAGTATGCATAAGCATACTTATTGTTCAAAAAAATTGTGAAATAAAATATGTTATCTCTTAAAATATATTTATTTTTGAGAATATTATACGACAAGATGGCCAACCAAAAGCAATCAAGTGTACAACATGCAATATGTTTGCAAATATAATCAAATGGCTTAATATGTATGTAATCCACTTTTGCCGACAAGCACTGAATCTATCAGTTCTTCGAAACCCTTTTGTCTCTTGGATTATGATGATAGCCCGTTCGGAACAATGGTCATCCGAATCACATAATGATAATATGAGATAATCACAACAACATAGAAGGTAAGTGAAGATTCAAACCCCAAAATGTTCATACCTGAAAACCACCCATAGTTCCCTCGATCTTTTCTGCATTGATGATTTGCTGAACAGATTAAGAGTCCTTAACAAGTTTAGATGGATTTATGATGGATCGAGATAAAGAATGTCAAGTAGGACTATTTTTTACTCCAATCTAAATCTATGTAAAAGTTGGTCCAACTCCTACACAAGCGAAAATAGGCAATTAACGAAGGCGTCTAGGTATGCTGGAGTCACTTATGTGGCATCCAAGGCTTTCACCTGAGCTTACCTTCCAGGTAGTCTTGGAAGGTCAATCAGCCAACTGCCCTTTTGGATAAACCCAGGCTTACTCGAACCTGGGAATATGATTAGTTGGATCCAAAAGTTAGTCGATATAAAATAGCTGCCTTATATCTTTATTAGAAATCTTCCAAATAGCTATGGATTCAGTTCCGATCATATCTGAATTACTAAAAATATCTATGCCTATGCTAGTCAAAGAAAAGTTATTAATTAGTTGATCATTTTCTATATCTTTAGTATCTTGCAGTAGAATTTTTTGTCCAAAAAAATAATTAATATATTGTTTCAGGTTCTCATATTACCTAAAATGTTAGATAAATTAGTTGCAAAATGTAGTATCCATATATGATCCCAGCTGAATTTGTATATGCTAACATAATAGTGGATACGGATATGTTTCTTCTACTATCAAATCCACATCCTATCACAGTCAACGACTCGAATGGATTGGATACAGGGCGAGTCGTTTTATGAGTAGGAAATTTTGTGTGAACTCATGCAGGTAAGTCGCACTAATTTTTATCCCGTTGCATCCGTGGTTGTGAACAATAAAAATAAATTAATCTGATTAGTAATTTGGAAAAAAAAAAAAAAACATAGGGTGGCAATTTACTTCAAACCAAGTTTCAGAAAGTAACACGGTCAAACAGTCATTGACCAGGGACAGTCGGCAGTCCTTGACGATGGGGTTGACAATTGGTAGTCAGTAGTATATCATTGTCACCTTCAAAAAAAAGTATGAGCAGGCAAATGGCACGCTCTTCATTGATTAATTTTGACCGAGAGAAGCATGCGGAAGACGATACCACTATCTGGACCAGCGCGGCTAATTCCAGTCAATCGGGCATCTGCATCATCGTGCTAGTGCCTGATATAAGTGCAAATCAACGTCTATTGTTCCATCAAATCCATCAGCACTTCTCTCCGGCAAAGAAGAAGACACTTCTCTTCTTCTTCTTCCCTCGCCGTGTACGTGTAGTGTATTCCATCGCAGCGACGAACGGCACGCGGAAACAACATCATCTCCACAGTGATCGCTCCTCGGGAACGCAGCCCGTCATCCATCCATCACCCGTCCACAGCACAACCCAACAACACGTAAACGTCGATTCCTCCTCGATCCCCTGCCTGTCTTTACTACGCCTGGGGGCAGTACCCACCCACTAGATATTATCATGTCATTCCATCTGTGGGGGCGACGTGACAGTGTTCAAGAAGGGACGACCTTTTCGCTCTTGGTGTTTTTCCTGCAGCCCGGAATCCGAAACCTCCCATTGTTCTTAGGAATCCGTTCTCCTCCTCCATAAATGACCATTGTCCGCTCTCTGAGGAAAAGCTGTGCAGGAGTGGTTGAAGAGAGGGCCGAACGGCAGGCAGAGCACGTACGTACACCGCCCTGTCTTAATGGCTTTTTGGACTCTCACCTGTGGCAGACCCCAGTGATGCCTGTACGTGGGGATTAAATGGAAGATTTTAGTGTTATCGAGTTGGCATGAACTCGGTCTAACGAGGCTTCCACGGCAAGCCTCGAAAGAAGTACCTGAGAGAGCGAGAGAGAGGCATCAGTGTCAGTTTGACTCATGGCTGCTGCCTCGCTTTCCGGTGGGTGGAGGGACGGGACCTCATGTGCCACATCAAAAGGAGTGTTACTTTTGATGCATGCTGCGCTTTAATTAGTTCTACGGGACGCGTGTGGGATCGGATTTGAGTTTCCTAGCATTTGGTCGTATGCTGAATCTGCTTGTAAAGAGAGTTAACAACACATTTGTTTAAACTAAATCAGAAATAACGCAACTTTCACAAATAATACTTGCAAAAGAAAAACTAGTCCTATATGAGGCCTGTTGATCTGAAAAATGGGCAACAACATTCTTATAATCTCTGGGAACATTTCTCATTTCGAACATGAAAATTACCCACCCTATTATATCATCGACAATTGTTTACCGACATCAGTAAGATAAATTTTGCATAGCTCTAAACGCAATGGTTTCAGCCTCTTGCCGCATGACATTCTCCCATCAGTTTGTGATCCCAGCATATTTGATCCAAGCCCGCAACCTTTCCTGGGCGACAAAGCTGCATCCACATTGAGCCTTCGCATCTCCTTCAGCTGTAAATACGCCTACTTCCCTCTGATTTGTGTCATGTTTGATTGTCTGGAATTAGCTGGTATCTGATTAATGAATAAATCTTTTTTTTTTTTCGTTTAATCAATTAATATATTTGTTCCTTAACGGACGCCAAAAACCCTGCTCTTCTTCGTCCAAAAGAGCTCCACAAAATGAGCCACCCACTTTTGAAGCAGCAGAAACATCCCACATCATACCTAAGCGCATCGGAGTGCCGCACAGGAGGCTTCTTCTGGCCCACCTTTTCCTCGAGCATGTGCAACTCAGACTCCATTTCCTGACCACATTTATGGCGCCTATTTTCAGTGGCAACACGACAACAACTTTTAAAATGAATGAATGAATGAATGTATGAATGCTTACAGGGATGTTCTTGATTAGCAAGCTAACAGTTGGCAACAAATGCCCAATTAGCTCTGCTTTCCAGGTTCTGAATTCATGACTAAATAATTCTGCAACACTGGCATTCTCATTCAAAATCTTGTAAGCTATGGCTTCAGACTCTTCTGAAACCTACCTTCTCAGTCAAGCAGAAGTCTTTTCAGATCCTTATTTTCTTACCAATCCCTGGTATCCACCTTGCTCCCTTTTTTTATTTTGCAAGAGGCCTTTGCTTCCCAGATACTCCAAACATGACCAGCTTTCTGATACGAAGTTACAGAGTTCAGAAATCACCCTTCACGTTGTCAACAGTGCATTCCAAGATAGTGTAAGTGCTACATCGTGTTTAAGGACGATTCTAAACCAATTCAACAATTAAATTCTCAGATCATAGTTGAATCCGAACCGAACTTGGATTGAGGCTTCTCTACACCGCGATCTAAGTTTCAGATTGTCGAATTGAGCCACACAATCGATCTAAGTTTCAGGCTTCTCTAAGTTGGACCGAATTGAGCCACACAATTAAATATTTCAGATTGTCGAATTGGGTTGAGTCGGATGAATTTTAGATGGAACTTGCATTAATACCAGGTGCTTAGTTTAGTTTCCTAACCCAAATTTCGGGAAACACAATCTAATCGTATCACGGATTAAATGGGCTCTAGTTTTTTTATTAAAACCTAATAGCCACATCACAATCTACGAATTTTAATTTTCCTATTCTTTGGACATGACTAAGTATCGATTAACAGTTATCTCCATTCAGTTCACCAATTTGGTATGCACAAATCCTTTAATCACGAGTGATAACACTTACAGCACAAGTGTATTGTGGTTCCATAGATAATGACTACGCAAATATCAAACTTACCTACTGGTTTCAGTGGGCTCTGAATCTGCCAGGCCCATCCATGTAACTTCTTGTCCAGCTAACCCCTGCAACTAACTGGATAGGCGGTGGACTGGCCTGGCCCAATATAGGCAGGCCGCCTTTCTGACACGCGCACTGTATTTCCACACACAATCGCAAGATGAGGAAGGAATGTGGGCCTTGGTTTGCCAACACCCCTTCTTCACACTCAAAGCGGTCGTCGGTAGCCGCCACGTTTATTATTTTCATTTGTTATTTTAATCCCTCTTATAGTCTCATCCCCAAAAGAAAGGCACGAATATTTTCATTTGTTTTTTTAATCTCTTATATTCTCATCCACAAATCGGCGCTCGTTTTCTCTATGTTGTTCCCCTTCCCGCCGCTCTCTGTGAGCGAAGGACAACGCCGCGGGCGCCAACGGCGGCGAGGGACTTGCCGACGAGGCTGCGCGGCTGGCTGACCGGGCCCGCGAGCTACACGATGCCGCTGCCACCTTCATCTCCAGGTCCTCCGCCGACGAGCAATCCCTCCGCCACCGCGCGCAAGCTAAGATACTCCGTCGAAACTTCCCTCAAGAACTCCGCCGTCGATGCGATGGTAGTTACGAAGGTGATCGGAATTCCTTCTTTGTGCTTCTGGAATATGTGCACGGTAAATGTTTCACGAGCAATTTGGTTTGTTTATAACACAGGTAGAGGAAGAATTGAACAGGGCAAGAAGGTATGCCCTTAATGATGATGATGCCGCGTCCCTTCTTCCTAGCAAGGCTCAGGGTACTGTTCTAGATATTTGCCCTAGCTGGTTCTAATTTTGGTTTTATCTTTTTTCTTTTATTGTCTCAATGTGGTCATGCGTGTGCGTGTATGATTTGGTATGATTACTGTGACAGGTAGGTTCCTGAAGATGTTTCTTGGCGCTGTGAATGTACGCGCGACGAGGAAAGAGGTTCAACTCAAAGTGAAGGAGTACAACAACTATAAGAGTATTCTTCTTGCTCGTTTTATTGCTACATCAATAATTCATTTACATTTTTTCCTAGGTTTTGATTGGCTATGTGGATTATATATATTAATCTTTCATGGTCATGTTATATGTTACTAATCATAGTACGACGACCTAGATATGGTTGCACATTAAGTGTTTCTGAGCTATTCGTAGTTGTTTTGAACAATTTGTGTCCAACATAAAATGTAGACCATTAGACATGCTGCTCAACCATCCTTTTTCATAATGGTATCACTTATAGGGGCTAATCATTAGATGCTAGGTCTGTGTACATATGCAGTATAAACATGGTTGATTAGATGCAAAGTTTTGTTGATCTATGAAAATGACCGCCTCCTCCTCTTCTTCTCATCGCTTCATCTACGACATTCGACGAAGAAGGCGGCGAAGACGTCGAAAGCCGCAAACGTCTCCGGCCTTCAACGAAGAAGGCCATAGAGTCGTAGACAAGGCGATGAAGGAGCCCGCTTCTTCTACTGCTCTAGCTGCCACCTCTCCTGATTCCCGCGCCTTCGGACCCTCCTCTTTACGACTCTCCTCGCCTCCTGGATCGAGATTGTCAAGGGAGGGCGGCACCGGATCAGGATCGAGAAAGGGTATGGAAACAAGTTCGTGTCGAGATTCTGTCGATTCTCCCTATTCTTTGAATGCTCTCTCCTTCTTCTTCCTTCTTCGATACTTCTCCCTCAGCCTCGCCCTAGCCAGGCCGCTATATCGAGCGGACCGCCCGCTACTGTACAATTCAAAATCGTAAACCTTGCTCACAACTATGTGAACCAACCAAAAAACAAAAGAATGAAAAAAATGATGGAATGTCATGGTTCAAAAACTTGAACAAATTAATCAATTAGTTCCTTTCTTTCCATCAACACATACAACTCATGAAGAAATATATAAGCAACATAATAAACAAATTACTTGGTGATAAAATGCATACTTTTAGATATTAGAAACTTATGTAGCCAGCTCATTCAGAAAAACATATAAAATATAAACATGGAAAAATGATGAATAAAAAAATAGATATAATGGTGGACTAAGTATATGATCAATATGCAAAAAATTAATAAAGATAAGAGGCATTTCAACAATGAGAAGCAAAACTTGGCTTGAAGCAGCTCTTAGTGGCATCAGCTAGATTTAGGAACTTGACAGTTTCCGGTAAACTTTCATCTGCAATACAATATCTACAGAAGTATATAAGTTAACCCTCCCTTATCATGTCATAAACAACAATAACATGGGTATATTATTTAAAATAGATCCTCCTAGAACCTAATCACAACCATCAAATCAATCAGGAATCTACCTAAAACTAAATATCATTTAATACATTGTTATATTTAGCAAAAAATCATGATTCTATTTACGTGCTGATAGTCCACGGACCACTGCTTAGCGAAGAATAGTCATTTATATTATTGTATTCTCTTCAAAGTTCCCAGTTCCCGATTCCCAATTTTCATATTTGGTCACATGGATCCTTTATTGGCCAATGACAGCATCACTAGTCACGGACAATTAAATCCCTTTTTATTAATTTAATAGGGTCTTCTAAGGTCTCTCTCTCTCTCTCTCTCTCTCTCTCTCTCTCTCTCTCTCTCTCCTGTAATCATTAACATAATTTTATTCACCTCTCTTGGTGAACTAAGTTACCTTAAAACATGTCCAAAATATCTTAACATATTTATGGATACTAGTTCCACCTTTACTTATAATCAGATAGGAAAACCCATTTTTGTCACAAATACCCCAGGCATGATTCTATTGTTTCCTTCTATTTGTTTCTTTTATCTAGTTTACCCAAGTGTCATATATTTAACATTTATGAATCCCTATATACTTCATTTTCTAGTGAAATTGTTTCTTCCTTGACTGTAGCACTCTCAAAAGTTCCTCCAAACATATAGTGCTCTAACCAATTTGTAATGACTTGTCATCGCAATGAAAGACAATATATTCAAATTTTGAGTTGTAAGTCTGTGTCAGACCATAGAATTACAAAGAATTAAATTACATGGAGAAATCCATATAGCCCACAAATAACTAGACCTAAAATGATTCAACATAGTTCAAACAAAAGCAAACATACAAAACCTAAAGTTGGATTATCATTAAACATAGTTATGATTAGGAAGCAACTAAATTCTTTACTATTGTTCACCCAAATACCATAGGAAGTCAATCATTAATTTCTCTTAGAAGACCAAAGAAAAACATTAGCTCATTATATCAGAACAATATATGAAGAAATAAGATTTGCAGAAACTATATCAAGACCAATTTATTACTCTCTTGTAACATGGAGATTCAGCTAGAATGTATTTCCAAAAAGCCTATGTAGGGTGCATTCTATAATAATAAATATCAGCTTACTTGCAAGGGGAAATGCTCTATGCAATATCTATCACACAAAATGAAAGAAAACATCAAGTATGCAAAAATAAGCCTTGCTCCATATCCGTTTATGTGAGAACTATTATTTTAGGAGTGACTTGTTCTATATACACAATTTCTTCAACAGATTATAGACAGAAACACAAATGTCATTCACTATTCCATAAGCTTGTTCTCCACACAAGTGAAAGTCCCGGCTGTAAAGCCCATCACTATAGTTCTTCTAACACTGCACTGAGAGCTGCTCCTATAGATGAAAACCTATCAAATCTTTTGTCAATAAATTATATTACGAATTATATTAATTACTTTATTTATAAGAGAGTCTAATGCACCCCGAACAAATAGAGCAAAGGTACTAAAGAGGGATAATGTAGAGCAGCCTCCCGGCATTCAAGGCTAGTTATAATTATTTAGGGTTTCAAATTTTAGCTGGTACAAAAATTTATCAGAAAATGTTAGTATGCATTTCCAAGATTAGCCAAGATCAAACCAGGCTTTTTCACTGTGATAAAATAGTCTGCCTAGGAGTTGAGCTTCTTTCAGAGTCCAAGCCCTTGTCTAACTAGGCTTGTTGGCTTCAAGTTCGAATTTTTCATTTTCAGTCCCACTAAGGTTCAATATCTTATCTTGATCTAGTATACAGAAGTCTTTTCTTCTTCATGATCTCAGGAACAAAGAAATCAGCCATATCAAAGGGTAATTAGCACATTGGCAGATATCATGTCTGCTTCAATGCCACCAACTTGTTGTCCAGGATGTACCTCAATAAACATTAAACTGTTAGGACTCTAGCTAGGAGAGTCCTAATTGAGAGGGACATTCTGTTAGGACTCTAGCTAGGAGAGTCCTAATAGAAAGGGACACTCTGTTAGGACTCTAACTAGGAGAGTCCTAATTGAAAGGGACATTCTGTTAGGAGGTTTTTTCTTAGAGAAGAATTAGGAGTTGTAAGGGAATATGAGTCTTGAGTATGAGTCATATTAGGAGTTGGTTAGAAGTAAGAGTCTTAAGTAGGAGTCCTATTATGAGTTAGGGTTTAGAAGCCCTATAAATAGTCATGTATTCCTTCTTTTTCTTAAGCAATAGATGAATCTTTTCTGCAGCCTATGAGCAGCAACTTGGAGGGAGGAACCCCTATAGAGTTCCAAGGAGGTCGACCCCTTAAGAGATCAACCCTAAGTTTAGAATCTACAAGGGTTCTAGCACTTGGTATCAGAGCAGCGTTCTTGGCGTCTCGCTGCCCTTCCACAGCC